CAGCTGGGGATGGTGAGGGGCGCGGGGCGCTTTTCGGGCAGGTCATCGACTGTACCGATCGCTCTTTCTGTGATACCGGGATGGTTGGTGCTGTAACCAGGTAGGTGAAGGCTTGTCATGACGTTTGTCGTGATGTAGGTTTGACCCCTAGTTAGCAAGGGTGGGGAAAGCAGGCGGAGGCTGAAGGTGTTTCTGCCTTGTTGCACCCAGTATACCTGCGAGAGGGGAGGGGGTGCAGGACCAAGCCACCTCAGAGATGAGGAGACTAGTCTAAAGTCTTCAAAAACCTTTTTCAGGTTTTATGCTAATCTAGAAAAAGTGAGGAAAGACAGTTGTTAACCTTCCCTCTGCGCCCCAGGTTATTTTAGGACAAAACAGACACTGAGCATTCGGCTGTAGATAGGCTTTAAGTGAAAGGCATAGCTTATTTTCTTTTAACGACTACTGATTATTTCCATCTGAAATGATCCCGGCAGATGAACAGTGGTGTTAGGAAGAGTCATTTTTCAGATGACGGGAGGCTGTTGGCTTTTGTTTTGCTTGTTTTCTTTATGCACCTCCGCTGCTAGCATGGAGCCATGGGGCAAACCTGGCGAAGCAGTGCTCCAGGCAGCGCCGAGAGCCGGGGAAGGAGGGGGCTTGGGGGGCAGCAGGGCTGCCGGGGCTGGGGCAGAGCTAAAAGCAAGGATGTGCAGCACGCTGGGCTGAAGGCCAAAGGGTGCCTGGGGGGTAGCAGGGCTGCCGGGGCTGGGGCTGCTCCTTGGCAGAGCTAAAAGCAAGGATGTGCAGCACGCTGGGCTGAAGGCCAAAGGGTGCCTGGGGGGTGATAAAATATGACCCCCAGCTGCCCTTTTCCTTTTATTACAGGGTGGAGGGATAAGGCCACTCAAGTGTAGAAGTTTTTATTGATGATAAACTTTAAACAAAAGGTAATGGCTGTCTCTCGGGAAGCGTAAATGATAAACAAATCTTAGCAGTATGTGCTTTGGCCGATTCATTACTAGACCGTCTGTAGGGAGCTTTGAACTTGAGCAATGTCAGTGTTTTATTTTCACGTGTGTATGGGCTGAGAAGAGGCGGCCAGAGCAATCTCTCTTCAGTGCTGTTGTGCTCTGAGCAATATTTGCCCGTGGAGTTGCTGTTGTCCAAATCTGCTTTCCACTCATGGCAATGGAAAGTAGCTCATTTGTTGGCTTCACCAGGAGTTTTTGTTCCTGGTTCGAGTGAGCGTGAGGTCAGAGAGAAGGTTATTTCCTGACACAAATGAACCTGTCGTAATCTCATGGCATCTGTCATGTTCCCAGAGTCGCCTGTGAGCAGGAGGAAGCCATCCTGCAATGCACCGCAACCGGCAGGATTGGGGTCTGGGAAGCTGATCTCATTTGTGAAGGCTGGGAGCTACAGAGGGGAAAACAGGGTTGCAAGTTGAGAGTAAATACAACAGCAAGTATAAACGTGGGAAGAGGGAAAGGTATTTTCTACGTAACACAGAAGAATAAACTTAGAAATCAGAGGAGGGTCTTTAACTGTCAGGGAAATGAGGTTCTAGAGAGTGTTTTGATGGGACTACAGTGGCAAACAGTGTTTTTTGTTTCAGGGTGATGCGCTGCAAACTTACATGTGAGGTTTTGTGATACAGCTATCTACAGTAGCATTTAATTTTCTTACTATTGTCTCTCTCTGCAGCTGTTTCCAACCTAGATGAAGAGAGTAGATGGACTGTGCACTACACTGCTCCATGGCACCAACAGGAAAATGTCTTCCTGCCCTCATCAAGACCACCCTGTGTGGAGGACCTGCACCGCCAAGCCAAGCTGAACCTCAAGTCAGTACTGAGAGGTAAGATGCTGCTGCTGACAACACAGAGGTTTCCAAAAGGGACAGCAGGTTTTTGCCACAGTCTTTGCAAATGCATCCAATCTGCAGGCTTCAGAAGAATCTTGTGTTTCTGCCTGCGGCACATCAGGAACATTAGTGGGATTTACCCACTCAAATGTAGGGATAGCAAAAGTGCTTTTGCTATCAAGAGACAAAAAAATCTGTTACCCGGCAGAGCACTCTAGAATGGAAAAGGGGAAAGCCTGGTGTCTTTTGGCTGTTTCCATTTAGTCTTTGAAGTGTTTGCAAAATGGTACCTTCTATTTCAGTAAGTCCTGGATTACTCCATTTGTGCTTTAGTGCAAGAGCCACATCAGAGTTGTTTCATTTGGGGATTTCTTTTGTTGTTGTACAGTGTCATTTCCAGGGATGTGGCTACTTGTGAGAAGTCAGAGAAGGCGTTTGGGGGCAGAGAAGGGAAATGGGGAACAGGGCACTCAGAAGGACTCTTTCAGTAGTGAAAGTGCTTTCTTGCAGAAGGGTGCAGTGTATTTTTAAGGACTGATTTTTACCCTTAATACCTTAATTGAGGGTGTACCCATAAGGTCAGGCATGGAAGGCATTGTGTTGCATTAGTGCAGCCGCGAGGACAGAGGCAGGCAACCAGCGGGGAGGACTGCAGAACATCTGTCTCTGGGCCAGAAGTAAAGTTTAAAATTACAGCTTAATGTCCGTGTTCTGGAAATGGTTATCCTAGATTTTTCTTTACGTTGGCTGTTTAACAAAGGGGGTTACCCTGCAAAGAGCCGACTCATTTCAAGTCCCTTTTTGTTTTGGCAGGAACTGCAGGTACTTGATACCTTGCAGAGTTAACCCGATTTAAAAGAACATTGTAGTTTTTGTTTGTTTAGCATGACATTTCTGCTTTTTAAACGTGTAGAAAACTTAATTTGGTATGTCTGAATAGAGAACCGTTTCGCTGCCATATTTTATTTCTCTTGCCATTTCTCCAGTTAATTGATTTTCACCATCTCTTACTAGGTGCCTTTTGTTACCATTTAATAGGGGAGTCTTGACAGCCAGTGTTACTAGCTCACACATGGCTCAGCAGATAGCCTGTGTGTCCTCTATACTTACTATTGAATTAATGCATTTGCGCAGCCCTTTAGCCTTGAAATGTTTACTGTTCCCTTGCAGACACACTTACCAGTTCTTTACAAAAGAAAAATATTTGCCTGCTTTAGATTAAAAGGAATGCTGCTTGTGGTTAGCTCTTTGTAAACTTTAACTACTCATTCTTCTATTTTTCTGTTCTCTGTTTGAGACTATTATCAGACAAAACTGCACAGGCTAAAAGGCTGCTCTGATTTTCTTGTGTTTTATCAGAAATTTATCTACTGCAGGTTCAACTTTTCTTTCAATAAATTTATATCTAATATATTTGTGTGAAACTAAGTAGCGTATGCTGCTTCCCCCAGTTTACACATCTGAAGTTATTTTGGTCTGCTGGAATTTTTCTCTAGAGCTGCTGCTCTTTGTAAAACAAAAGCTATTCAGTACTACTACAACTTACCAGTTAGCCATTTCGTGTTAAGTAAACTGGCTTCTGCACGTGATGTAGGACTCCTTGGTAATGAAGCGGATTTCAGTTTCGTGCTTTTAGGCCAGTAGTTGAGAGAGAGAAGGAGCTCTGGTGCCTTCACTGGGCCTCAAGTGCTGACATAGTCAACAAAACTCTGCTATTTATTTATTTATTTAACATCGAGCTCTTTTCTGAAACAACTCATTGCTGTGGCCTGTAGCTGTCCTGAGTACCTACAGCATGAATTTAACACCGTTTTCAGTGATTTCATTCTTGCCTGTAGGGGCTCTGAGTAGTATGAGAGGTGCTGACTGAAGTTTTATCAGTTCTACGCTGCTGCGCCTTCAACCGGAACACACCGGAGCTTCTGATCACATTTGAAGGATTCGGTTAAAAGTTGTGTAGCCAGAGCTGAGTTTCATTCAGTGTAAAAGTGCTGTTGAAATTGTGATATAATTGTGACAGCTGCTGAACTGCTTTTCTACTTGCTGCTTTAGAAATGACAGAGTTTTCCAAAGCTTCTTAGTGGGTAGGAAGTAAATTCAAGTGCTATATGATTATAGCATAGAAGACCTTGAGGACAGGTAGTCTGATGAGAAGCACTTTTGGGCTATCATGGGAACTTTAATTCTACATTTCTTGGCCTCATGATGAAGCTTGCATTTTGACATCTTTTTGGTGTTGCAATTGCGTTGGTTGAGGTGAAGCATGGGGCAGTGGCTGTATGTGACCTGACGTGCCGTCGATGTTGGGTGACAAGGTGCGCGGTACTCTCTGCAGTGGGATGAATCGCCGTGTTCGCCAGAAAGCGTTTGCGCAAACTGGAAAGGAGTAGAATAAAACCAAAATTTTTTTTTTTTTTTTGTGGTAAGTTGGAGATGAGGTAGTGGACATGCACAGCACTTGGAGAAAATGCTGAGGTTTGATAATAGGGGAAACTTCCTTGCGGTAAGGATACTGAAGCACTGAAACAAATTTTTGGCACTATGAAAGCATTGGAGTTTTTAAAAAATAGGGGAGAGAAACACTCCTCAGAAATCATTTGCGTGTATTTGATCCTACCTTTAGAGGAGGCTGGGAAGGAAGAGATAACCTCTGGTGGTCCCCTCTAACCTGATAATATGGCACCCAGGGCTTAACTAGTAGCTGTAGTTCAGACCAATAAAACACACCTGTTTGAAAGCTTTCCAGTCCTGTTCTTCTTCAGATTATGAGATCTGACATTGCTGGTACATAGCAACTTGATTGTGGACTATGAATTTGTTATTGCGTTCATTGCTTCTCTAGTGAGTGGAAAAGTAAGTGTAAAAAATAGTAATTCACATATAGAGCACACTAGTCATTTAAACCACCTGTAAAGGTATTGAATGTATAAAATGTTTCAAAATAATTCAAGCAAGGTATTCCTTTCTTTCAAGGTGGTTTCACCTGTCTAATACTAACCAGATGAAATCCTGGCTACCTTTTAAGATAATGCAAGGTCAAACCTATTTATTCTGGTACTGTTTTAGCAGCTCAGCACATTTTTGACAGCATGGGTCTAGCTAGAAAAACCTGGTGGAATAGATGGGAAGCTGTCTTGAGTAGAATAAACTTTTAAGCACCACGTAAGGAGCAGAAAAGCTATTATTGCTGCTTATTCTTAAATTGGTTTAAAAATAAATTGAGAGATATTAAAATATATGCTATCTAACGTATCTTGAGAGAAATCAAGTACTCTGCCTGGTGATCTCTGTATGCTCTACATACCTTTACAAGAAGCAGTGTTATGTTTGGAGGAGGAGGAGATCTTTCCTTACTTTTTTGTGCAGTTTATTATTTTGCTTTGTCTATTATATATTGAAATGTCCACTCCTTATCACACTGTGGAAGTGGATGCAGCATGTGATAGTAGATTCTGCACGGGGAGATTTTTTGTATTTTTGTACCTATGAACTACCCTTTTGAAATCAAGGGAAAATACTGTGCTTTTCCTTAACGAAGCTACTTTCCAGTATAAATGGTGAGATCTTGCATTCAGATTTGCCCATAGCTGAGGTAAAGTTATTTATCCTTCTTTAGGTATGCAGTTGCTTAGGTGCCATCTGAAGTTCTAAAAAGCAGTATTTTCCAGTAATTATAATTAGAAAATGAAGCACCTGGGAAGTTTGTTATACACAGTAGAGCTGTTCTGGAGAGCTGAAATGGCTTTATATAACTTTTATGAAAATCTAAAGTTGTCATTGACTAAAATGAGCATGTTTAACTCATGCTGCTTTACTACATTTTAAATTAAAGCTCTCGGTGGCTTAATCTGGTGGCTAGAGCAGAAGAGCAAATTCAGCTGCACATCAGAATCATGGTACCATTGCAATGTGACTTCAACATTTACAAAATGATGCAGTTCTTTGGTTATGGTAGTAGATCCATTATTTTAAGTGTTTTATTTGCACTGGGTAAAACAGGCTCTCGCTTTCTTTGGGGGAGCAGACAGGACCTTGGAGTGAGTGGCTGGAGGAGCAAATGGGGCTACATGCTGGATGTCAAACACGTGCCACCCCGTGTGCCTGTTTCCTGACCCTCAGGGCCAAGCTGCTTTAACTCACCTGTCCTGATAGCCTGCCTGAAGTGGCTTCTTCCTCATGTTTTGACCGTCACCCTAGGAAAGGTATTTTCCAGTATGCAGACATTCAGGTGGAAACAATATTGACCCTTGAGAAGTCTTGTGTGATCCTGCGCTCTACATTACTGTTTCCTCCTAGAAAGTCGTGAAAATGGGTGATGAAGAAGATGGTGGGGTGGAAGAGCTGAGTCTCTGCATGGTGTCAGGATCTTTAAATCAATCCTACCCCCTTGCACTGTCTGCTCTGCTCCAAGGCTGAAGGACTTCTTGACGTGTTTAGTCGCATGTTGCCGATGTCTGCCGAGTGGCTGGACCAGCTCTGAGAGTCTGCGCTGGAGTGCCACGTACTGTAGTATTTCCCGCAGCTTTTTTGGTCCATGAAGCCCAGAGATTGAGCGGGTGCTCAACCAGAGTGTAGAGGGTGGCACTGCAGGACAGAACAGCCCCCGTCCCTAACACGGTGTGTTGGCAGAGCTGGCCTGTTGCTCTGCAGCATGGTTGTGTTTAAAGGACTGTTGTCTGAAGAAGTCTCTAAAGTGTAGTGGTCTTCTGCCAGGAGCACTGATACAACAGCAGTAGTATATAGCAACGATGCAAATACTTGGGTAATGAGTAAATGGAGACTAATCTTCATTTTGTTAACTGTAGTACAATCTGAAAATGGCAAGCTGTAAGGCGTGAAGCCTGAAGATGGGGGGGAGACACAGCACTGTTGTAGTGTTGCTTTGCTTAGCTGGTTGGAGCTGTTTGAAGTGTGCCCATCTGCCTTCTGGACAGGTTTGCAGCATTGGCAGTGTATTTACAGGTGTTGGTCCAGTGTCCTAAAAGGAAAACCTA